TGGGAGTTGGACATTGTGGACTTGACATATATGATCTTTGACTAAGATTCTCCTTGGATTGTTCCAACTTCAAAGATTAGGAGGATACGTCTCTGTTGCAAAACCCAGTCTATGACTATTCCAGGGCATATTTTCTTTTAGACAACAATAACCGAGTTAAAGAAAATCTGAAAAACTCTCTTTCTATATTTGATCTAACATTTTATTGCTAGTTCTGACCAGAGGAAAATTTAGAAATTTTGATTGCATATATTAGCTGATATATTTAATTTGCCATTTGTTTCATGTTATATGTATTGTCTTAAATGTGAATTGTTCAGTGTTATAATACCATTAATTCATTCATTTAACTTTGAAGCCTCCCAACTCCACATGATTCCGGGCAGCTTACAATATTAAATATATACGTAAAGATTAATTTTGATTAGTGTGAGGGAGCTATTTCTTCTAGTTTATTTTCCTCTCTCTCTTCTTTTTGCATAAAAAGTAACGTATCTTTTTTAAAAAGAAGTGCTTATATGTTATGTTGACTTTCTCAAACAATCTAATATTCTTCTTCATTTTGTTTTTAAAGGACTTCATTATTGTAGAAGAGGATGAGGATGATGATGACAAGGTAAGAGGGTGTGATGGGATCCGAGTTTGAGAAATTAATTTAAGATTTTACAAACAGACATACATACCGGGAACGTTATTCTGAGAAGAGGGATTCCCGTACATCAGAAGAGAAGGAGTTGTGGAAAACCAGTGATGCATTTCAGGCATTTATTATTACTGTTTTGCATCAGGTCATTGAAATGCATAAAAGCAGACTTTTAAAAAATGTAATGAAGCACATTCCCCTCTCCCACACAATACAGCAACTTTTAGGGACAGCAGTTGGCTGGGATGTAACACAGAAGAACATGGTTTCTATCAAGTGCATGCTTGTGTTCTTGTCAAAATATACAGAGACCTTTCTTGACCATAACAGAGGGTGCTTCTGGGAATTGTAACATGTCTTTGGAGACTAACTGTTTACAACTTAGAAACACATAGACAGTTAATTAAAAAACAGAGGAACCAATTAATTCTTTTCTGTATGAACGATCGAACTTTAAACTAAAAGAGTTGTGCTGCTGGATCCTTTTTTCCTTTTCCAAATACCAGCTATGATGGAAGATAGTTGGTTTCCCAAGCAAGCTCCATGAAAGGCTTCTCCTTAGTGATGGCCTTTAACCACAAAGTCTGTCTTCTTCCATGAAATTGCAAGACATCTAAAACGTCACTTTTCTTGCCCCTGCTTTCAAAGTAACATAGATTTCATTTCATTGTATACCAGCTGAAGAGTTTTAAAAGAAGGACTTTTCTCAAAAAAACTTATTTTTGCATTAACTGAAGCGATGCCAAGTTTTCCTGAGTTTTGATTGTGTACTGAAATAGGCTTATTCAATGATAAATCCACATTTCTTTTGTTTCTCAGCTTTTCATTCAGTTCCTGGATGCCCAATTACATTTCTCACACTACTGGGAAAAAGGTTATCCCCATATACTTAGAGCAAGAGTGGACAACTGTTACCCTCTAAGGTAGACTCCAGAGCCTCCTCAGTGTGCACTACTGAATGTAGGCTTTGTTCTGTTTTCTGGAGGGAAACACGTGAAAGCCCTACCTACATGCCCTCCAGAAAACAAGGACCCCCCCCCAAAAAAAGAATGGCCTTTGCCACTTTGCATCTTTGTTAAGGGGAATCCTTAAACATTGGACATGGTTCTCTGCTTGCTGCTCTCCACATGGTTAATTCTTCAGAGGGGCTCTGTTCCTCCTATCCCAAAGGTCAGATTGGCCAAGACAATAGCAGAACGAGTTGGTATGTTACAAAATGTAGCCTTTGGAATAAATGCTCAACCACTCCATTATTCATGGTTGCACGACAAATGTTAAGTGTTTGAATGTTTCAGCCTTCCTTGGGCCATGGCCATGCACCTCATTTTCCGAGTTCAAGCTGATTATTTTGATGCAAAAGACTATAAATTCTTACCCTGTTCAATGTTTTTTGCTTGTTTGTTTTTTTTAAAAAAAATCCCTTTTCCTTGCAGAGTTAAACTTGCCCTTTTGTAGTCTTGTTTAAACAATAGACAGGGAAGTAAATCCTTTCTTAGCTCAGAAGATTGGGGGGGGGGGGAGACTTTAAGTAACACACTTAGTATTTAATGAATTCTTAGTTTTGAATTAGCTTGCAAGGTTTTAATTCTTTCCCAAAGGATGAAGTTTATTTTTATTCTAAGGGAGTACTTTTCATCAGCTGAGAAATGATTGAAATAAGTACAGGGGTGTATTTCTTTGTTCCAAAAAGGTAAAAAGTCAGGAGGACAGATCTGTCAGATGCACACCAACATTTTCTTCCTCATTTTGAAGCAGAACGTCTGACCCAAGCGTTTCCAACCCAGGGATTTCTGGATTTCTGGTTGTTTATTCCTCCTGTGTGCACATGGATGTTTGTTTCTTTGCTGAACCAATTAGCTGTTGTCTTAAGAGGATGAAGTTATTGATAAAACCACAGTACAATAATACTGAAAGAAGGCTGTCCATGATAGAGGGAAATTTATCCCTCAGTCTAGGTCTAATATAGCTTCACAGCAAGATGCTGCTATGAACTAAAACAACAGACCTTATCCTGTCTTCCTAGTCACATACCCAGTGTGGGCCCAGTGTTAGGAACAAGAAAAGACACTTGTGGTTGATGAGTTCCCAGGTCTTTCTCTAACTGTTGCCAGCATGGCATGATCCCTGATTAATGCAGGAATTGAGGCTGTAGAAACAAGGAGACCCTTTGTGCCAATGTGAGTGAGCATGTGGATACTTGTAAAGGAAAACAGGTAAAAGGAAGTCAAACAGAAAGAATCCTTCTGCCACCTCATGTAGATAACTATAGAAAGCAGCTACTACTGTCCCACCTTTGAGAATTTCTGAAGATATCCTTCCCCTTCTGTATGATACATAAACATAAGGTTGAAAGAAAAAATCAGAGTTCTCACTGTCCATGGACAGAACAGGGAAAATTGGAGGCCACAGGCTCTCGCCCTAAGAAAATGAGAGTGAAAACATACACTAATTTAGAAGATCAGTACAGTAACACTAGCAAACCGTGACAGTGAATAAAACCAAGGCGAGGTCCTATTTAAAATAAAGACAGAACAGAGCAGTTCTGCCCCTCTAGAACTTGTTAAGAATGGAAACACCTTGAGTTCCCTTGGGAAGGCATCCCACAGTTGAGATGTGCTACAGAAAAAGCCCTGTCCCTTGTATCTACAGACCGTTCCTACCTTGGTGATAAGACATGTGGACATCTGTCTATGTATCAAGGTCCTTGGGACTCTTTGGATGTCAGAATAAATCCCTGATTTCCATTTAATTCGATCTCTCAGTCCCAGGCAGTCCAGCAAGCTCACAAGAGAAGATGTAATATTGTGTTGCTAAATTGTGTGATCGCCACATTTTTGTAGTGCAATCTGAGATGTGTAAACAAAGCCAGCAGGATAGCTATCCAGCTGCCACATAACGTTCTTCACAGTTCCAGGCTGCAAGAACAGACTTGCTTCGAAAGATCTCACTTGCATGTGTTTATTTCACTGCTGCTAAGAATTGGTCAGAAGTTAGACGGAACTGGGGAAAACATTGGATGTTGCCCCTTGATTTCTAATCAGCCTCAGCCATTCATGCTTGGAAGCAGCATGCTGGAACTTAGGAACTACTGCCAGCGTCTTCACTTGTCCTGAGCAACACTGCAGGTTGGCAAGTGCGGCTAGCGCTTGTCCTTGTAGTACTATGGGGGTGGGTAGGGGGGAGGTGGAGTGGTAGGAAAGAAAAGATGAGCAGAAAGGGAAGGTTGAGCATCCTTTGAGACCTGCTGAACATCTCCCTCTTCCTCATGGTCTTGGGAGGAAAATTCACAGGTAGAAACTTGAGTTTATTCTTGGAGGAGGTTATTCCCCCCTCACTGATACATGGAGATCGACATATGGCTTATTTTCACATAACATTTTAAATCCAGATTAGTAAAACTGCTTTCATTGTGTTAATGTAATCTGAGATGCCCAAACAAGGTGACTACATGTGAAAGCTTGGTGCACGCTATGTGGGGAGGAGGGCTGGTACCCAGAGCATACCATAAACTGCCCAACCACATTTTAGCGGTGGTTGAGTGTTGCACCTTTTTAAAAAACTCTTTCTGACTCAGCAGAATGTTATAAAGAAATAATAGAAAGAGGCCGAGAACTCTCTCTGTCTTTCAGCAGGAGAACTCTCCAAAAACCTGGAGATGGGAACCAACTTTTGGTGTTGAGGGAGAAGTTGGCAAAGAAAGGTTGTTAGAAGTGGGCTGCAGAGACAAAAAGAAACAAAAAAATCCAGAAACTTTCCCCCAATGCATCCCCATGGGAGGGTCAGTGGGTTGTGGGTCAGAATGCCAACTGCTCCATTCTAAGCGCCTCTCATCTCTCCTGGTCACGTGACCCAGAGCAGAGGATAGGCAACACTGTGGTTCCCAGTGCTCAATACAGAGGCACAACATGAGGTGACAGCAGGAATACATGCCCCCACACAAAGACAGAACATGTTATATGGAAGAACATAAAGACACCTCTTATGGCCACTGTGGATACAGAGGTTTAAGGAGTTTGAAGCGCAGTTTGAAATGACATGAAGTAGGATGATTAAAGCCAAGTGAGCTGGTGACACTTTCTGAAAAGCAGAGATGGAATCTTAGTGGAGGACTGCAATGGGGGGTTTATTGAGGAAAAGCCCAGTATGCTTTTAAAATGTTCCTGAGTGAATGTTGGTTTGCAAATAAAAGCAAGATTTTAAAAACCACAATCAAAGGTGAAGCAATTGAGAAAGACTCTTCTATGTTTGTCTAGGCATTCTTATAACTAGCTTTCACAGTGCATATCTGGGTTTTTCATACTGCAAGTCCAATAGAGTATAGTTACTGCCATACCTATGTTCATCCAACTCTTGGACAAAGTAAAAATGTTTATACTCGGGTGGTACAAAGTTTCGTGGGGATCATTTGGTTTGAAGGTAGCTCGAATACTTTCATCAGTGCAGATTCGGAAAGCAGTTCATTGCTTTTACATAGCAGTTTAGAATAGGCATGCCTCTTTGCATAGATCTACTTTATATAATACTTCCACTCCACCACTAATGTCCACCACGTCCATCACCATCACCATCCACAGCAGAAATGCTTTCCTGCCTGCAACAAATTCATTCCACTTGGATGCACACTAACATTATATATTTTGAGATCTTCATGCATAAAAAGAGATGTAGAGCCTTTTCCTATATGGTCTGAATGTATAGTTCATGGAGAAATAATTCCACCTGTGGTGTTGGTGGCAAGAAATGTGACTATGGTAGCCAGTGATGGGTGCTGTGCTGGGTCTAAGTAATATAATTTTGGAGCTTCCCTCTTTTTGCTGTTTTCTCTGTCTTCTCTTTCTTTCCTAAGCAGCCCTGATTTTTTTTTTTTTAATTCCAGCTAGTCTGATTGAAATGTTCACAGAATGCTGGAACAAGAAATGCATCTGGTTTTTTGTTTGCTGGTTTGTAAGTCTTAAAAATAGGTTTAGTAATTTGGAGAAAACACGGCTGTTTTCCAAGCTACAACACAGCAGCAAGCAGACATATGGATCTGAAATGTAACTGTCCTGAATGCTGTTACTTCTGATAACCTCTCTTATAACCTTTTATTGTCTAGGGCACTTTTTAAAAAAGGAAATAAATACATTTTTCTTCTTTTTCTTCTCTTTCCTCTCTGCTTGCAGGAATCTGAAAAAAAGGGTTTAATAGAAAGAATCCACATGGTCCAAGACATTGTTATTACAGTCCAAACACTTTTGGAGGAAATAGCATCTTTTGCAGAAAGGATAAAAAAGTAAGTCAAAGTTTTGTTCCCATGCTCTGAAAAACCTCTGAGCACTATGGCTGGAAGCAACTGGAAAAGAAAAAAAAAAACTTTAACTGGGGATTTCTAAAAGCAAATACAGAATGGAATAAAGGTTGCTTCTTTCACCTGAATGTTAACCCAGTGGTGATAAACTATCATTATAGAATTCCTCTTTCTGAATTTCTTACGCATTTAATTATGGCTAGAAATCTATGAAGAGCCAGTTTGGTTTAGTGGTTAAAGGCACTGGGCTAGAACCAGAAAATGGTGAGTTCTAGTCCCACCTTAGGCGTGAAGCCAGCTGGGTGACTTTAGATCAGTCCCTTTCTCTCAGCCCTAGGAAGAAGAAGGCCAGGGCGAACCACTTCTCAAAATGTTGTCCAAGGGATTTGTTCAAGCAATTGCCAGGAGTCAAGACTGACTTGAAGGCACAAAAAAAGAAAAAAAGAAAAAATCTATGGGAATTCTGAAACATGCATTTAAAAATCCAGGATTCATATAAGTAGACTTCTTTTCATGGAATTAAAAGTCATCTTTCCCCATTCAGATTTATCCGTGAGTCAAATGGAACAGTGCTGGTCTTTCAGAGCAAGGGCCTAACCTGTGCAATTCATTCCCACAATTTAACTTGGGTGGCTTTAGAAGAGGATTTCAAAACAGTCTGGATCAGCCGAGATGTCAGCTCTTCTGCTGGGTAGAAGATTCCAGCTCTTTGTCCTAGTGATCCCTTTTCTCAGTTCACCCCTCTATTGGGGCGCCTAAGATTTTATGGCTGCATAGTGCTGAAACTTCCAAAAGTTTCTAAGGAATCAAAATCCCTATATTCTCCAGCCACTTATCGTTTATACCCCTCTCCTTTGCCACCAAATTTGTTTTTAGTTGATTGCACTTATCTCCCACATGTTTTCTACCCTGCTTTTTACATCAATCTCCAACCAGTCTGCTATCCTTGCATTTGACAGGTCTATCCTAGCTTTGTTTCATCTGAAAATTTCATGCTGTTTTCTGGCCCCCTGGCCAGTGGAGAACATACCCCATGAAGCAAAGAGGAGAGAGTTTTCTGACATAACCGTGTGACCCTATTTTTTTCCCTCCCTCTTCCAATCCCATGCACTCACAAATGGAGTCTTGTCAACAGTTCCACTCTTTAAAAGTGCAGCCATGTGGGGTCTAAAAATACTACAAATCCATGTGTTGTGGTTGTGCCACATCTGTCCCAGCTGGGTGGGGATACCAAAGGATGGCTTTTGAGTCTGAACAGAGCACTGTTCTATGTGCAGCTGGATGGCAGTAAGGTTTGGAACGCTGGGTGACTCTTCCTTCTGGCATTCAGTTTTGTGACAATGATCCCTTGAGATCCCAGTGGGACATGAATATGGTTGCCCTGCCTAATCCCTCAAGAATCCAATTGTAACTAAATCGTAATGGTTCTGTGGACGAAGAAGAAGGAGGGGAAGTCCACTGGAGTAGTTTTAACAAGTGTCACAATGGTTTACATAAGCATTTCCACCAGCACAACCCTCAGTATCAAAGAGCCTTTTTAATAGCCTGCTTCTATCAGACTCTGAGGATTTAAAAATACATTTCATATATTTATCGGCCTGGGCTCACCCCTGCTGTAATTTAAATTGTAAGGTCTCCATTGAAGCTGAGAGATGTATTATTTCCTCTATTCGTTTTTTTAAAAATTAAAAAACCCTCATCAGTTAAGAGAAAGCATTCTTCGTGACCCAGCTGAGTTATTCCTTAAGTGTTTTGTAAAGGGCAAAAAGGCGGAGCTGATCTACTTCTGATGAAGAGCCAAGGGGTGTATGCTTGACCCCAAAAGGCTGGGTGCAATTCACACAGCTGCTCTGGGGAGCAAAGCAATTCGTAACATGTAGGGATGGGTCAGGGGCTGGAAGCAGAGATACCCAACTCTTTGACCATGTGTTTGAATAGTTGTGAGCAAAATTGATGTGGACATAGCCCCTTTGATCTCAGTTGCACCCCTTAGATATGAAGATAGTTGGAAACTATGTTTCCATTGATTTCCCCTATTTTTTTTTTCCAAGGCTAACCTTGGAGGGGAAGGAGATGAAGATTTCTGTCTCCCTGATGCCCAATTAACCATTAAAATCACTCTGTATGGAAGCCAGCTGAGAAGATTTCTCACTGTTTTGCAAGGAGCATGATGGTGCCAGTGGACTCCAAACCATGTGGAGTGGTTCTTAATTAAGCAATAGTTCATCCCCCAAATTAAGTATTTTACTGAACCTTAAAAATGGCCAAAATCACATTATAATTGAGATGACTTTTCAGAAGGGCCAACACTGTTGCACCAATTAATGAAAAAAAAATGCCAAGCACCTCCAAATTTGCCAGCCTCTGACTGATAGGTAAGACAAATGAAGATAATTGGTTCTGAATCAAACAAAGGACAAGGATGCTCAAGTTCCCTTAATAATGATTATCATGCATTTCATTTTAATCAATGACTCTTACAGAACTCCTCGGTTCTATTTAGCTTTCTCCCCCTACATGCAAGATGCTATTCTGCAGGAGGCCAGTCACACTACTGGATTAGTAAAGTATCATTGTGCATACCTGAGAACATCACAAACTTCTCTCTTGTCTTTCTCCATGTTGGTTTCAGTACGTTCAACTGGACTGTACCTTTCCTCTCTGCTTTGGCTTGCTTAGTGATCACAATAGCAATGATTGTGCTGTATTACATACCATTACGGTACATCGTTTTAATATGGGGTAAGTCTATTCTTCATGCAATTTTCTCTGGGTAGTTCCACTAGGCATTTATATAACAGTCTATGGAGAAATACAATCGTGGGGCCACTTCTGGGCATCTGTAGTTCAGAGATTGCAGGGCAAGTAAGTTCTTTGGTTTTAATAATGGGGTCTCGTGTATTGGACTGACACAAGAGTAGGATATTTCTGTGGTGATCTTTAGGAAGGAACAAGACTGGAAGATGCTAAAGATGGGTTATGTCTAGTTCAGGAGTAAATAGTTTCTTTTGGTTTGAGAACCACACTTGGCCTTTAAGGGGTTGTGCTTGGAGTTGAACTCCAAGAAGGTAAACAGAGGCATGAACAAAATCAAATCATTTTTATTTAAATGGAATGAAAATTCCATCCAAGGAGTGAAGTGCAGTTATTATCAGGGACTGAAAAATGGGACAGTCGCTCTGGCAACAGAATTTTATTGTAGGATACTTGACAACCAGCTACCATTTAGGCCGTCGCTGGAAATCTTTTTTCCATCAGAATATCCCTGAATTATGAAATTCATGCAGTTCTAATATATTTCTTGTACCCGCCAAGGTTCCACTAGAACTGCACAAACCATTCCTAGGATACTCAGATTGACTCATTCCAGCCCCAGAATGACCCATGGCAATTCCAGATTGCCTCTTTCGCACATCTCTGATTAATATAGTCACTCCTTAAGGGTTTAATCCTTTTTTCCCATTCTGTCCCTGTAAAAAATTTCAACTTGGTGGCAACTTTTACAATCTGCTTAGTTACTTAGATTTCCAGCGACGGCCTAAATGGTAGCTGGTTGTCAAGTATCCTACAATAAAACATGGAAGACTGCAAAATAGTTAATGCAAGTAAGATAAATAATGGAATTAAATAGTTAATCCAAGCAAGATAAAAATGCCAGCTCTAACAGCAGCCATGAAGTAAAATAAAACAAAACAGCATAATGGTGTAGAAAGCTTCAGAAAGGATTTGCCTGCTGCTGCCAAAATTTACTGTAAAAGTGAGCTTCAGGTAACCCTTTTGAGGGGCTGGTGGGAGGGGGTGGATGGGAAAAAGAGCCTTCCAAAATCCAGCTGTCACCTCTGGAAAGATACTTCCTTCGGGAATCTCCAGACAGTGGTGGGAAAACAGTGACAGTAGATGAGTGAAAGTGGGTGATTGTTCAGCTACCCTTACAAAGGATGCCAAATTCACTTGAAGTATATCTGTGTCCTGGTGTTTGTGGAGTCCCCCACCTTTCCTAGGGACTGTTCACCCCAGCTTTGCACTTTCCTTCTTTTTGTTATGCCCATATCTTGCACATAGGGTATGTTGGATAATAGCAGGAGCAGGCCTTGGAAGGTTCAGCTTCTCTGTGGGACTTTCATGGGTCAGCTCCTCTGTGCCCACTGACCTCCAGGATGACCTCTCAATCATTCTGCCCGACCCCCCCTCTCTTTTTGAGAACAGAGAGTATGTGCCATGATGGGCTGGCTGGTTGTGTAATTTCCCCCAATGTTTGAAACATGATCCAACTACCCCTAAGAAGGATGCATGCTGTGAATTGCTCCTCTTCCCAAATTGGAGTAGAAAAGCCAGAAGAGGACACTTTTCTAGGAGACAACCTAGAGAGACTAGATCTTGTTTGGACAGGTTCTCAGGCCCAAATCATAGCCCTTCAAAAAGGTGCTAGCCATCCTTCCAGTGGCAGGTCTCACTTCTCTGCTCCTTCTTGCAAACAATGGGATTTTTCATTCCTGAGGCGAGTGGCTGGCTGGCTTTTGTAATAAACCTCCCACTGCTTTCTTCAAGGAACGATGTTTGTGCATGATTCCATGTGAGAGCAACATGTGTCCGGTTTCTCTGTGTTTTCACACTCATTCTTTTCCCTTGTAAAACTCGTTCAGCCACCCGCCCACCTTCCTGTCTGAGCATGTCAGGCAGCATCATGCTGTGGTCTGTGTGTATGCGTGCGTGTGTGTATTTTCCTGCTCCCCTCCCCACCCGGATTTTTGAAACCATTTTCCCCTCTGTCTTTTTCCAGGCATAAATAAATTTACAAAGAAGCTAAGGAATCCTTATGCCATTGACAATAATGAGTTGCTAGATTTCCTCTCCAGAGTCCCATCTGATGTTCAGAGGGTAAGTACGGGATGGCGTCTCCAGCAGAGAAGTTGAGCTGAGTCCAGACAGCAGCAGGTGTGTTACTGGAGGGCCATTTTGACCAGCAGTGCAAAAGCATCGGATGGGATCATTAACCAGGAGGGGTGAGAAGAAAGAGGGCAGTCATAGGAAAAGGGGGGAGCCAAAAAGCCTTTGTGAAAAGCATCTGAATCTCAAACAGGCTTCTCTTTTTCAAAAGCTCAGGGGGATACGGAAACACCCTGCCCTCCATCCGAGCGGGTGGGTTTGTGTTTTTACGAGACCTTACAGGAATTTACCATTTTTTTTTCATAAGCAAAGCACAATAAACTTTTTTTTTTTTTAAATGTGGGTAAAGCAACTTGTCCATCTTTACATTCCAGCAAGCTTTGTTCTGATCTTTATATGATTCCCTGTGTGTCAATCAATCAGCATTTATTAGGGGTTATGATCAGTCATATATATATATAAAAAAAACAAAGAAAAAAAATGAAATGCAGACTCAATGTTTCATATAAATAGCATGTGTTTACAAGAAAGCACTAGGCAAAAGGGAAACAACAACCACAAACAAATCTCAATAATAATGTACTTAATAATCTAATATTCCAACCTTGCTGCTGTTTTTTTTTTTTTTTTGGTAAATCTGATGTAATTTATTTTACTTTATACTTGATCTTGGGGATGTGGCTGAACAAAGGCTATCACCAATGCTGATTCCCCGCATGTACAATTGCATTCAAGCACTTCCCTTCACAAATATTTAATTATTTATTTCCCCATTGCCATTTTCGTTTATTATAAGGTTAAAGAATAGTATGCAAAAAATGCCACCCCACCTCCACTGACAAACAATAATAAATGAAACAGGATAAAAATATAAAAAATATATAAGTGTATCCCCTATATAGCAACTATTGAACAATATATAAAGATTCCTAGTTTGAAAAAGAATGGGAGTCTTCTAAAGCAGGGTTCTTCAACCTTGGCGACTTGAAGATGTGTGGACTTCAACTCCCAGAAATCCCCAGCCAGCATGGCTGGCTGGGGAATCGGAGAGCGGGTTCGGAGGGAAAGCGCG